TTTTTTTCTGGTCTTCACATCCCATAAACGAATAGATTTATCACAACTAGCAGATGCTAATGTAGTACAATCAGGAGAGAAACAAATTTATTGGATTCCCTAAGTATGGCCAGTCAATTTGGCTTTTTATTCTCCTGTTTTTAAATCCCACAATCGAATAGACTTATCGCCACCGCTAGATGCTAATGCAGTACCATCAGGAGAGAAGCAAACTGAAAAGACTTTCTTAGTATGGCCATTCAATTTGGCTTTTTATTCTCCTGTTTTTAAATCCCACAATCGAATAGACTTATCGCCACCGCTAGATGCTAATGCAGTACCATCAGGAGAGAAGCAAACTGATTTGACTTCATCACTATGACCATCCAATTAAGCTTAACATTTTCCAGTCTTAACGTCCCATATTTAGATTGAGTTATCTGCACTACCAGATGCTAATATAGAACCATTAGGAGAAATGCATACTGACCAGATTTTATCAATATGACCATTCAATTAGGCTTTTTATTATCCGATCTTAGCATCCCATAAATAAATACAGTTATCATAACTACCAGATGCTAATGTATTACCATCAGGAGAGAAGCATACTGAACACACAGTGCTAGTATGACCTTCTAATTTGGCTGTTTATTATTATGTCTCAACATCCCATAAACGGATAGAGTGATCCATACAACCGGATGCTAAAGTATTACCATCTGGAGAAAAGCATACTGAGTAGATATAACTAGTATCACCACCCAATAAGGCTTTTTATTTTTCTTTCTTAACATCCCATAAACGAATAGAATTATCACTACTACCCGATGCTAATATAGTACCGTCAGGGGAAAAGCATACTGATTGAACCCATTCACTATGACCATTGAGTTTTGCCTTTTATTATCCTGTTTTGACGTCCCATAAACGAATAGAATTATCACTACTACCAGATGCGATAGTAGTACCATCAGAAGAGAAGCAAACTGACCAGACTTTATCACGATGACCCTTCAATCTAGCTTTTTCTTCTCCTGTATTAACATCCCATAAACGGATAAACCTATCTCTACCACCTGATGCTAATATGGTACCATCAGGAGAGAAGCATACCGACCAGACATTATTAGTATGACCATCAAATTTGGCTTTTTATTATCTTGTTTTAATATTCCATAAACGAATAGATTTATCATAACTAGCAGATGCTAATGTAGTACCATCAGGAGAGAAGCATACTGATTTGACTTCATCACTATGACCATCCAATTTCGCTTTTATATGACCTTCCAATTTATTCAATTCGCTTATTTTCAAATTCTTCCATTTGCAGTTAAATAGTTAAGCTCCACTTAAATTCACTCCACTAATATCTACATTATTAAATTCTGATCCACTCAAGTTACATCTTACAAAATTACCCCCAATTAAAGAGGTGTTCTAAATCTTTATATTTTCAAAACATTAGTACTTTAGATCAATCTTCATTTCAACTAGTAAGTTTAATGAGTTTGATCCACATAAAATGAATTGATTATCGATGGCTGTGAGATGAACTAAATACAAAAACAATTTAATTATTTGCTTATTCTCTGTCGCTTGCTTTATTATATCTTATTTAATATCCAAATATTATTCAGATTACAAATTATTTTTATTTAAGCTATGATTTTTCATTTTTTCGAATAGACAAGTTATTTTCTTAATACTTTTTCTGATAACATTTAACTTCTATTCCATATTCTCAGATGACAAATTCTCTATTTTTAAAATCCATTATTCTAGGTGCTTTTGATTCTCAATTTTTTAAAGATATCCTAGAATATCTGAGATACTTTCTTTTCTAAACATTTCAATCATATCACTGAATAATTATTCATCTAAGTCTTTAAAGTAAGCAAAAACCTCAAATAAATCTTTTTTTTAGTCATTAGCGTCATCCATAATGAATTTCTATTACTTTTATATTAAGTTTTATAATAACAAAAAGACCAAAATTATAATAATAGAAATAGATTTAATTGTGGTTAAATTGCAAATCAATTCTTTTTCTGCTTGTTCTTTAAGTATTACAATAATTAACTTAGAATTATGAGAGTTAGTTAATGTTATGGCTAATACTAAATAATTTAATAATTTCCTATCAACTATTAATGTTTCTTATACTATCTTGATTCTATTCTAGATTTTCTTTATTATCTCTCGGCATATGTATATATGCTTTTTCCATAGATAGTGTATGCAACTAATTCTTCCACACAACTATGCAATACACTCGTTTCAACAATAAAAAGCCAATATTGTAGAAATAGAACCACAAGAATTAAGATTAGAAATCTCTTAATTTCTTAAATATAAAATTGTTTGTAAAGCCGAATAGCTTCTCAATTTTCAATTATTTCTTGTTTTTGACTAGATGCTTCATGATATTTACAAAGAAATATTTAGACATATATTATTTTGATTCCAAATCAAGCCTGAATAAATTTCTTATTTTTTTTAGTGAATTAACTACTCGAAGCATATTCCTAAGTAAATTGTTGTAAACAAGATACTAAAGCAAATATTTCAGTAACTAGTTAATCAATAGCAATATTTCATCGAAATAAGAATTTATCAATGATTAACATTTTGGTAATCACACAGCTAAGAAGGTAAAACTGTTATAAAATATCTATAAATCTCATAGCAGTATGATATTCAGTAGCTTCAAATATTAATTTTAGTGCTCTACTCAGAGACTAATGTTAATTTCAATCTTGATTGGTACCCTAATCCTATAATATCTTTTTTGATTTAAATTGTCAAAGCCCTCTCAAACTAATTAAATCCTGAATTATTTTTGTTTTAGTAGATTTAATAATAAATTGCAGATTTGTTATAACTTTTCCTCAACTAATCAATCTCATTGAATTATTATCTTAGTTATTCAATGTTTTCTTATTATTATTAATTTATCTGATTTTTGATACAAAATAATTCAAAATCTAAAACGAATAAAATTCTATCAATCATTTATATCATTTATTATTTTTCTTTTAACAATATTTATAAAGCTTCATCTATATCTAACTTTCTTTAGTTGCATAACAATATTTTTTTTCTTAAAGTTCCCGTAAATTTTCAAATTAAGAAATAATAAAAAAGGCAATCTCAACTAATCATAATAATTAGGCATATAATAGTTTGACAATATCTTTGCTTTCTCTGTCTTCAATTACTCTTTTTATAATTTCATCTTCAAGATTTCATCTTTCATCTCAAAAATTGCATGAATATCCTATTGGTATTTATTACATTTCAGATCACTGTGAATTTTAAACTTTTTAAGAATTGTTGTTCTTTACCATGAGCTGCTTATTTTATGATATTAGATTTTATTAAAAGTATTCTTTATATACTTTTTAAATGATTTAAAATTTTCTCTGCTCTTTAGTTAATTATCTTTGCCTATATATTACTCTTGTCTCTTTCATATTCTTCTTAGGATAAATTACTTATAATTATATTATAATAATTAATAACTTTACAAATTATATTTTATCAATATTCTTCTCTCTATATTAATGATTTTTTTCACAATTTTTTTTAATTTTTATTTTAGTAATTACAAACAAGAAAAATTTGTGGGCTACCTAAAAGACCCAAAAAAAAGAGCATTAGATTAAAGTTAAGTAATTAAGATTAGAACAGTTTATTCTAATCATTTTGAACTTTAGTTTTTACATGATGTGCTGTTTCATATTTACAATTTTGTAATATAACCAGATTTTAATTATAATTCAGAATACTTGATGAGGAAATAGTTTTTATACTTTAGGATTAATTTCAAGTTGTAAGGCTAATTAATGGATAGAAGTTGAAAATTGAACTCAAATATGTGAAGACAATATGAGAAACCTTAGAAAAGAATGATTAAAAATTAATATGCATAACAATAGTAGATTACTAATTAAGATAGATGAGAGAAATATTTGGTAAAGGTGTA